CGGATGGCTCCTGCCATCTACACAGCCGCCCCCTTTCAGCAGGGTCTGCAGTGGGGTTGGGTCACTCAGAAGGGACTGTGGATTGATAGGTACTGTGATTGCAGTTTCCAAAAACAGCTCATTATATTTTGCAAAAATAATGCCTCAATGAGACCTTGCTAATCTTTCAATACATGTTATATTTTGTCTAAGACATTTTATCAAGATTTGTACTTTTTGCATCAAAAAATTAGGAATTTAATTTTGTATTCTTCTAAATTCAGTTATGTGTTTATGTATGCTTTTTAAAAAACTTTTATTTCAGCAGAATTTCCTGCAGCATAAGTGGAAATACCTCTGCAATTCTCTAGAGCAGCAGTAAACCATGGCACTGTTGACATTTGGCATTAGAAATGTCTGTGTGGAGGAGGCTGTCCCGTGCATTGTAAGATTTTAGTAGCATTCTTGGTCCCTACATACTAGAGGCTAGTGGGATCCTAGCCCCAGTTGTAACAATAAAAAATGTCTTCCGATATTGCCCAATGTCCCTGGGGAACAAAAGTCTCACCTGGTTGAGAACTACTGAACTAGAACAGCATTTCCCAAAATGTATAGAACCCAAGTTTAGTGGGATATGTGTACATTTTTATGTATTAATCAGTTAACCTATTTTGTGTTGTATTTTTAGCCAGCATTATTATATTACTACAGGCCCGGTGCACAGATTTGTTCACCGGTGGGGTCCCTCGACCTGGTCTGTGCCCTATCACAATCCGGGACCCTCGGAGGATGTCAGACTGCCAGTTTCTGCCCAGTCCCCGCAGGCCTGGCTGAGGGACCCCGCCGGAGCATGAATCCGTGCACCAGGCCTCTAGTATACATGTAAGATCTTTGGTTAATCTCTTCCCACCTTCCCCTCTCCCCGCTTCCCTCTGAGATTCTTCAGTCTGTTCCGTGTTTCCATGCCTGTGTGTTGAGCATCTGTCCCCTGGTGGTTAGTGCACATCATAGCTACCAGTCGAAGGGTCACTTAGGCTTTTATATATATAGACTAGAGGCCCGTTGCAGGAAGATTCCTGCAAGAATAGGGCTTCCTCGGGCCTATTCCTGCAAGAATAGGGCTTCCTGAGACCCGAGCGAAGCAGAGAAGGGAGCAAAGCCCACCGAGGCGGGCTTCGCTCCCTTCTCTGCTGCCTCACTCCCTCACTTCACCCTCGGCTCCTTCCCTTCTCCGTGGCCTCGTCTCCACTGCCTCACTTCCTCCATTCTCCGTTGCATCGCTCCCTTCCTTCTCCACTGCCTCGCTCCCTTTTCTACTGCCTCAGTCCCTCTCTTTCCCGCCGCCTCGGCTCCCTCCCTTTCCCCCTGCCTTGGCTCCCTCCCATGACCTCTGCTTTGCCTCCCTTCTGTGTCCGCTGCCTCCCCCTCTCCCTTCTCCACCACTTTGCTCCCTCCTGTGCCTGCTGCTTCAGCTCTGCTCCCGTCTCTGCTACCTCTGATCCTTTCCCTTCTGCAGTGCTTGGCTTCCTTCTACACTGTCTTCAGTCTTCATTGGGCACCTTTGTATGCAAATGAGCTGCCATCTTTGTTGGGTTGATTTGCATACTCACTCCTGATTGGCTGGTGGGTCTAGCAAAGGTACGGTCAATGAATATCTTTGTCTTTTATTAGTGTAGAAGATGTTTTCACATGTTTATATAATCCAGCTAAATATGTTTTTTATTTTAAAAATTTAAGATTTCTTCACAATTGAATGATTCTATATTTTTTCTGATTATTTTATGTCCATGCCTAATGTGGCAGAGCCTTTGGAGCATCTCATTTTTTATATTTTCTGTGTTTATTTTATCCTCCTCTGGCCTAACAAGCTTAGTCAGATCCCAAGGGACCTAGGTAGGATGGTATCACTGCTGGGCCCATTTCTAAGGTGCTGTCCCCCAGCACAGACAGTGCCCTAGGAAGAAAGATTGTATGTGTAAGAGGGCCCTTGCCTTGAAGGAGTGGGGTTTCTGTTTTTCATAAAACATATTCATTGACCTTTAATAATAAATACTACATGAAAGTGTATCAGCTTTTTAATGATGCCATTGATAGTCAAGGTCTTAAAAACTGTGATGTGAATTGAAATTCTATCCAGCTATGCTAGACCAGCCAGCTCAGAATTTACTAAAACAGTTCCTAAAACACCTTTGTGGTTAGAGTTTTACTATGTCTTTAGTGAACATATATGGACTTTTGGCTTGGAAATATATTTTTTGGACAAATTTTGTTTTAACAGAATGTAATGTTTATGATTTTTAATTTTTTTGTTAATCCTCACTTGAGCATATTTTTCCATTGATTTTTTAGGGAAAGTGGAAGAGAGAGGGAAAGACAGAGAGAGAGAAACACTGTTGTGAGAGAAACACATAGGTTGGTTGCCTCCGGCACAGGCCCTGACTAGGGCCTCGGCCGGGGAGGAGCCTGCAACCAAGGTATTTGCCCTTGAGTGGAATCGAACCTGGGTCCCTTTGGTCTGCAGGCCAATGCTCTAGCTATTGAGCCAAACCGGTTGGGCTCTGATTTCATTTGAATATTAAACTTCAAGTGGTACCTCCCCAAGCCTTGTTTGAACAGTAAAGTGATTGCTTGGCAAATGTTTTCCTCAGAATGTGTTATTGGTTGAACCTCAGTGGGATGGGGGATATGAATGAAGCCAGGATAGAAGAGAGGTGACAGGTGGATGACAACTCACTGAACTGTAGTGATGGACAGTTGATTGTCCTAAAAGGTATCTTGGAAAATCTCTTTTTTTTTTGAGTATAGAATTTTGATAGTTTTCTTGGAATCCTTGACAGCTTTCTTTATTAATAATATTAGCAGGTTTAGTTTGGAAAAGTATCATTAATAAAATGTTTTGAGGAAATATTAGTAGCCACAGAGAAAATGTCTGTTGCAGCCCTAACTGGTTTGGCTCAGTGGATAGAGCATCAGCTTGCAGACTGAAGGGTCCCAGGTTCGATTCTGGTCAAGGGCATGTACCTTGGTTGCAGGCACATCCCCAGTAGGGGGTGTGCAGGAGGCAGCTGATTGATGTTTCTAACTTTCTATCCCTCTTCCTTCCTCTCTGTAAAAAAAATCAATAAAGTATATTTTTTTAAAAAAAGAAAGAAAATGTCTGTTGCAAATGTCTCTTGACTCTTGTGTCCCCAGTCACTTCCTGGCTCCTTAACCATCTCTCTTCCAGACAAGCAAGCTAAAGTTACCGTAGACTTTCTTGCATTTCTGTTAGTGGAATTGATTGTGCTCATCAGTTAAAGCAGCTTTCGAGAGCAGCTCGGGAGTTGCCCTGCTGAGAAGGAAAGTGGCTAGGTGTGGCAGCTCTGAGCTTTACTGCATTGTGCCTGTCTGTAGATTAAATGAAAAATCCAAAAGACTTGATGTCCCCAAAACTGAGTTATAGAGCAAATTAAAACAAAATGTATTGATTTCAAAGAGAGGGAAGCATTGGTCAGCTGTCTCCTACACACCCCCAACGGGGATCAAGCCTGCAACCCAGACATGTGCCCTGACCTGGAATCAAACGGGTGACTTCCTGGTGCATGGGGTGATGCTCAACCAACTGAGCCACATTGGCCAGGCTAGAGAGCAAATTTTTGATGGATAAAAGAAGTTATGAACATGTCTCTTTGGACAGCTATATTTTAGGCCATGAGTTGGCAAATTGTAGGCCTCCGGGCCAAGTGCTACTAGAGCCACTGTAAAGGAAAAAGAATCTACAATAGAAACAGTATGTGGTCTGCAAAGCCTAAAATACTAATTAGCTGGCTCTTTACAGAAAAGTGTGCTCACCCCTCAGTCAGTTTTAGCTGAAGCAAATTTGTGTCAGTCTGGATAAATGGAATCAAACAGCCTAAGTCTGCTGGGGAAATCCTCCTATATAGTAAAACCCTAATATGCAAATCGACCGAATGGCAGAATGACCGGTCGCTATGATGCACACTGACCACCAGGTGTCAGATGCTCAGCGCAGGACCCTTCAGGGAGTGAGCCTAAGCCGGCAGGCGGACATCCCCCAAGGGGTCCTGGAATGAGAGGGCGCAGGCCAGCTGAGCCCCTCCTCCCCCAGTGCATGAATGTCATGCACCAGGCCTCTAGTATGACTAACAAAGAGGAAGATAGGATATTGTCCCTCAGTAGACTAGCTTGCTATAATTGGTATGTAATGACACCTGTGTAAAAATAGGGCCTAGGTAAATAGCTCGTAAGTCAGAATAATAAAGGAATCCATGTGAATAAATATTGAAAGCTTTTGTGACCAGTTCCTATTGCCTCATTGCTCCTTTGTTTTTCCCTTTTGCTGGCATTTGAGCCCTGAGAAACTCTGCTGAAGCCAGTATATAGAGTTTAATTCTTTCTTATGGGTGCCACCTTGTCCAGAAGCAGTTCTGAAACCCAGATGCCACTGGGAAAGCAAGCAGTTCTGCTTCCTCAAGAGCTTCTGTGTGCCTTACTCCCTGAGTTCTGGGGCTGAGGAGCACTGTGTGAATAGGCTGCTGGAGAGCAGACTCTAGCTGGGCTGGGAGGTACTGGGCCCTGTGGGTCAGAGGTCAGGGAAAGGGGCAGGGCTGCAGTAGGGCTGGGCCAGACAGCCTCACTGGTCTTTGGCTTATTAGGGCTTCTCTCTAGAAGCCACTCCCCACTCCCCCCATTTTTTCTGTCTTCACTTCTCATTTGAAAGTGACAATTATAGTGCAGAAAATGAAGATGAGTCTACTCTTGAGTGTCTTGTTTTACCTGAAAGCAAGAAAGTTATAAAGAATTACTGGGACGTGTTTAAGGCTCTAGGACAGTGGTTCTCAACCTGTGGGTCGTGACCCCTTTGGGGGTCGAACGACCCTTTCACAGGGGTCGCCTAAGACCATCGGAAAACACATATATAATTACATATTGTTTTTGTAATTAATCACTATGCTTTATGTTCAATTTGTAACAATGAAAATACATCCTGCATATCAGATATCTACATTACGATTCATAACAGTAGCAAAATTACAGTTATGAAGTAGCAACGAAAATAATTTTATGGTTGGGGTCACCACAACATGAGGAACTGTATTAAAGGGTCGTG